ATTCCCAAAAACCCATCCATCCTGGCCACACGTATAAAAAGTAATGCAGAGCCAGTGTTTTTATTTAATGAAGGAACAGCGGCTACATGATAGTGCAAACTAAATGTTGACAGGGTTTAAATTAAAGTTTTCACAATCAATTATTTAACTCACTTTTAAGAGTATGTTGATGGCATGATGTGAGCTGTGCCCGTGCATTTCAGAATATCAGCGTCTGACTCTTCTTTCAAAATCATCACAAACCACAAACCTTCCTTTCCCAAAACCGCAGTCTGATATTTTGTAAATCAGCTCTTACGTTAACTTCAGTAAATCATGATGTAGCAGCGTTAAAAAAAAGCATCAAATAAAAAACAAATGGAAAGGCCACTGCATAAACACATGGAAAGTCACTTGCTCCCAGACAACTTGTGCCAAAAAAATTCATGAAAAACCACCACTAAAAATATCTGCTTTTCTGTGAGTCTGAGGATGGACACGTGACGAGCTCGGGACCAGAAAATAAACTTTATTTCAAATATCTAGAATTTATATTTAAAAACCCTCAAAGATAAAACCTTCAGCATTCTCCTCTGTCACAAGGAGATGAACTTTCAAGTAAAATGCCACAGATGATATTCTGTCCTCCAGAGGGAGCAGGCAACAGACACAACACTTGACAGTTTAATGGATCACACTTGCAACAAACACTTGTAGTTGTTTGATGTGTTTTTTGCTCTGAGTTTAGAGAGCAGAGGTTTGTGTTGTTGCTGCCACTGAGACACATTAGACTGATAAATGACTGTTAGGTTTATTCAAAAGTAGATGCCACTTCAGACGCTACAGACCTAGACTTCTGATGTGGGCTGAAGAGTCTCAAGGATAACTGTGTGCCTAACAGTGGGGTCAGTCTGCATGCAACATAACCCTCGTTGCAGGGAAGGCTGCTATAGATGCACTTGATGTGCCTGGCCTGAAACAGACGAAACCAGCAGTTTCACCAACATCTTCCTCAAATGGTGTAGTATGGCAACAGCTGCAAGCAATGCCAAAATATTTATAACAACAAATCCACTCCATTATGTTTAAATTGGGTTGTCAAATAGCTTGTAAATACTGCAAAATAGCTCACTATTATGTGCAAAATGCAAGAAATGTGTATTAACAAAACTATCACCTTTCACACGTATTCCCTGTAAACTCTAGCGCTCTATTCTAATATTATGTACAGACACTGCTGTCTGGTAAACATGATATAAACGTTTTAAAACGGCCATCATAAGGCATGACTCTTAATACTAACTTTTCACAGCACTATTTAAAAAGCCCAGTGGTAGCTGGCCCTTGGTACCAGTAACATGAAGCGGGAGAGTTTCATACCTGGTGCGTGTATATTTTTATTTTACCGTTAGCACCGGTGAAAACTTACAGATAAGAAATACAAAAGAAAAAATAAGGAATAATTATGTCAAAATACACAAGCAGAATTCATTAATACATTTACAATGTTGATCGCAATCAAAAGAAAACTTACACTCATTAGCACCAAGAATCTTCTCTCT